CGCTCCCATACAGGTAAGCAGACCACAAAAGGGTTGGGGGTTAAACTTAGACTGGCTTGCGGGAACTGCGACAAACTCCCTCAGTGAAGATGGGCATGAGGCAAAATCACTGAGAATGGGGAGATGTATATCTTTCATTCCTCCTTCCCTGTAACAAACTGTGAATCCAAGGATCCTCTCTGAGTGGCAGGGGATTCATTATGGATCTGCAACAAGGACTCCTGGTGTTGGGGGTCCCAGGGCAACTACAGTGGTACCTCTGGTTAAGAACTTAATTCGTTCTGGAGGTCCGTTCTTAACCTGAAACTGTTCTTAACCTGAGGCACCACTTTAGCTAATGGGGCCTCCTGCTGCTGCTGCGCCGCATGATTTCTGTTCTCATCCTGAAGCAAAGTTCTTAAGCCGAGGTACTATTTCTGGGTTAGCGGAGTCTGTAACCTGAAGCATCTGTAACCTGAGGTGCTACTGTAATTTCCAGTTCTGGGCATAAGGTAAAGTTGAGGCATGTTCAAAACAAAACTATATTTTATTTAGCAAGCACTCAAAGAGGGATTATGCTTGACATTTTCACTAGTAAAGGCACAGTCCTTAGGACCCGCCATAAACACTGTTGGAGGTTTAAATGAGAACTTTACTTAGGGTTCCCTGCAACATAAATATTTCTGTGAAATCCATTGCTCCCTACAAAGGCTATCCACTTTACCCTGCCCATAAAACAATTACTGTTTGGAGATGCTGCTTCTGGGCACCTGCAGGATGTTTTTGAGTTTGCAAAGCACCTGCTGCCACTTCCAAGCCAGCAGATCGTATGTGAGGAAGGAGAAAGGGGTTGGCAGTGCCAGTCAATATGTAGAACCTCCTTCTGTGGATGCCAGGGAAGCCCATGCCAGCTTCTTCCCTTTCAGGAAAGGGGGACTCCAAAACATCTGCCTCCATCACTGCCACCCCCTTGTCCTACCAGCCTGAGTAATGGGGGGGGGGACTTCAATTTGGCTTGCGTTTAAAGGTGAACCTACCTTTCCAATAGGGACGCAGGTGGCGCTGTGGTCTAAACCACAGAGCCTAGGGCTTGCCAATCGGAAGGTCGGCGGTTCGAATCCCCGTGACGGGGTGAGCTCCCATTGCTCAGTCCCTGCTTCTGCCAACCTAGCAGTTCAAAAGCACCCCAAAAAGTGCAAGTGGATAAATAGGTACCGTTCCAGCGGAAAGGTAAACGGCATTTCCATGCGCTGCTCTGGTTTACCAGAAGCGGCTTCATCATGCTGGCCACATGACCCAGAAGCTGTATGCCGGCTCCCTCAGCCAATAAAGCGAGATGAGCACTGCAACCCCAGAGTCGTCCGCGACTGGACCTAATAGTCAGGGGTCCCTTTACCTTTACTACCTTTCCAAAACAAGACACTAACCAAAATGCAGCCACACGTTGAAATTTGCACTTTTCTGAATTTTGCAATGCAGTTCTTCAGCCTGGTAATCTGCGTATACTGGCATAGAGTGTGCATAAAAGCAAATATATCTGGGGAAGCAGGATAACAAAATGCATTATATTGCGTACTTTGCAGAATTGCATACAGAAAAAGAATGTAGAGTGTACCTCGGGTTAAGAACTTAATTCGTTCTGGAGGTCTGTTCTTAACCTGAAACTGTTCTTAACCAGAAGCACCACTTTAGCTAATGGGGCCTCCCGCTGCTGCCGCCATGCAATTTCTGTTCTCATCCTGAAGCAAAGTTCTTAACCCGAGGTACAGGAGTCTGTAACCTAAAGCGTCTGTAACCCAAGGTACCACTGTATATATTAGGAGGAATTTGCACTAAAATGTTGGTGAAGAGTTTTCAGTTTTTTAATATAAAAAATGGAAACTGATGTGGAAATGTGAATAAATTAATTGAAGATGGGGAAAATGAAATGCTGACAGGTTTGTTGGCCCTGAGGTGAGCAGGCAGGCCTGGTTGAAACTCAGAGGTCAGGGTGATCAGGCCTTACTTGAAGCCTGCTCCCCCCATCCTACTTGTCAGGAACAGAACAGGAGTGGTCATCATTGTGTGAGATCCCTCATTCAGTTTCTCACCACATCCCTAGTGTGAGGTATTCTTTATTTCCAAGAGGCCTCTGTCCACCATACAGAGAAAGAACCATTTCCTCTCTCAAGCCAAGGATAACGTTTGGATACTCCCTTCCCAGCCTCTTCTCAAAGTTGTAATTTGGGGTGAGGAACCTGTGACCCTTTGGATTGGGCAGCACTCCAGCTTCCATCAACATGGCCAACAGACCAGAGACAATGAGAGTTGGGAGCCCAGCAACATTTGGTTTTCCCCCTCCCTGAGGCAGTTGATAACTGCTGCACTTCTGCCTCTGGAAATTCGGTTTGTGGGCCAGAAGATGAGAGGTGGGGCTGAGACGTGATCTGTCATATGACCTTAATAAGTGGGCAAGTGATCACAATTCAACTGCTTAAGGTGCTGGATACAGCTCACTAGGCCAACCCCCGCCCCCCCGTTCTTAATGGGATTACATCAACCTGTGCTGCATGCGATTGGGATTTAAATTGCATCAGGAAGTGCTTTTGGAAAGCTGCCTTCGATTGGAGGAGGGCTAATGCTATTAATCCACTGACGTGTGGGCTTTCCCTTCTCCGTTCCTTTAAGTGCCAAATCCCGGGGAAGGATGAAACCTCTGGCTCTGGGAAACAATTCCAGATGCAGCTGAATATAGAGCAACACTTTAGATATCATCCCTTTTATAAAACGTCTCTCATTTCCTCAAGCTGCACATTTTTCCTTGTAGTGGCTGGGAATTTGATGTGGGGCTTTAATCAGGATGGAGCGATGGCCACTAAAACCTTTTTGAAGGAAAAGGCAAATTCATAAAGGACAGGTATCTGAGCAGCAATGCTCTTGGCCAGGATAGCTGAATGGAACCTCCTTGCTCAGGGGGAGTCTACCTGTGAGGGCACCGTGGCACCTCATGTGAACTCTGTCATTTCACCACCCAACACCATCCGGTGTTGGCACGAAGTCCCATGCTCTCCTCATATGCTCATGCAGAACCTGCATTCTCGGCCTCTGGGCTGTCGATTTTATTCTCCTTCTGTGAGACGTACAGTTGCACAACGTTAAGATTGCCTCTCCGGCTCTTTCCGAGAGCTTAGCTGATGCTCGCGTCACTCGCAGGCTTTCTGCTCTGCCTCATTAATATTCCATCCTCCCCGTCCCCATTTGCTTCCAGGGCTGCGTGTTTAGCATCAGCAGCTGCGTTCAGTACACAGGGCCAACCGAGCTGCTGGCATTGACGGATCCCTGATTTACTTGGCCGGCTGTATAATAAGACCCTTTGCTGCGCCAGCGAGGCGGCCTACAAGCCTCCGGATTGGCCACTCAGCCGGCTCACGAATGCAGCAGGTAACAATGGAGAGGCCGGGTCACAGGTGCAGCCAAGCGGCCAGAGGGGGCTCTAATTAGTCCCATTTGTCCTGGACTTAATGTCAACCTCATTAAGAGGCCTTGCAAAGTTAATCAACGTGCCATAAATGGGATTTTTCTTGCTGTTATCGTTGCTGTCTGGCAGCTGGTGTGTGTGTGTGTGTGTGTGTGTGTACAGTACCCCAAACGCAGCTCCAGTTTCCTCCCTCTATATGGCTCCTAAAGCAGGTGTCATTGGTGTGAGCACTTCAAGTGTGCAGATTTAAGCTCATTTAGCATGTGATTGGCTTTATAATTGAATTTGCTCATACAGGCTCCGGAATTTCAATGCTCTGCTTAGAACAGTTGAGCCTAAGTTGGAGAGAGAGATGAAGAGAGAACTCTCTCTCTCTCTCTCTTTAACTTAATAATAATAATAATAATCTCAGAAATCCTCCATAGAATACGGGGAATTGGAAGACGTGACTGCCATCTGATTGCCATCGAAGCTTGCACGTTGCGTCTTCTGAAAAAAACAATAATAATTTGACACAGAGAAGTGTCATCACTCTGACTTTGAGGAGGCTGTTTGTTTGCATGTGAGAATCAGAAAGCATGGATATCAGTAGTATGAGAATCAGAAAGGGCAGCACTGAATTCGAATCCAGGATCCTTGCCATGGCAGGAGTTTGATAGCACTCATTCTGGTGCGAAGAATTTAATAGGGTTGTATCCTAATAAGCAGGAACGCGGGTGGCGCTGTGGGTTAAACCACAGAGCCTAGGACTTGCCAGTCAGAAGGTTGGTAGTTCGAATCCCTGTGACAGGGTGAGCTCCCGTTGCTCGGTCCCTGCTCCTGCCCACCTAGCAGTTTGAAAGCACGTCAAAGTGCAAGTAGATAAATAGGTACTGCTCCAGCAGGAAGGTAAACAGCGTTTCCGTGCGCTGCTTTGGTTCGCCATAAGCGGCTTAGTCATGCTGGCCACATGACCCGGAAGCTGTACGCCGGCTTCCTCAGCCAATAAAGTGAGATGAGCGCCGCAACCCCAGAGTTGGTCATGACTGGACCTAATGGTCAGGGGTCCCTTTACCTTTACCTTTATCCTAATAAGCTCTACTTAGAGTAGACCCACTAAAATCATTATACCTAAGTAAGCCATGCCCGTTATTTTCTGTCGGTCTCCTCTGAGTAACACAAGCATTTAATACAGCCCATAGTGTTTGTGGCGCCTCAAGCTACCCTCCACCACCATGAGGTTGGTTTATATGGTTCAGGGGCTGACGTTGAGGACTAGTGGCTTGCCCAAAGCAGTCAGGTGCGCATTATGCCACACTAGGCTCCAACACAGTCTTAAGGACCATTACCTTTCTTGCTTGGAGCACTTGGAAGCCCAGCACTGATACAGGACTTGTCTCCTCGGCCCCACCTCCCTCCCCAATTTGGAGATGCAGAGGGCAACACTGGGGCTAACTTTAACTTCATCCTGGGTGTTCCAAGTAATGCATAGGGCTAGGGACAAAAGCCCACCTCTTGTGGTCTCAGCAACCACCAAATTATTATTTGGTGGCCCACAATTTTGCCTCCTAGGGTAGATGAAAGAGGGACCATGGGCTCAGTGGTAGAGCATGTGGCTTTGCATGCAGAAGGTTCCAGGTTCAGTCCCTGTTAGCATCTCCAGGTGGGGCTGGGAGCGACAGTAGAATCCTAGATCAAAGTTGGAAGTGAATCATAGAATTGTAGAGTTGGAAGCGACCCTGAGGATCATCTAGTCCAACCCCCTGCAATGCAAGAACATGCAACTGTCCATTATGGGGATCGAACCTGCCGCCTTGGTGTTATCAGCACCACGCTGTAACCAACTGAGTATTTGTAGAGTACAGTGGTACCTTGGGTTAAGTACTTAATTCGTTCTGGAGATCCGTTCTTAACCTGAAACTGTTCTTAACCTGAAGCACCATTTTAGCTAATGGGGCTTCCTGCTGCCGCCGCACCGCCGGAGCATAAGTTCTGTTCTCATCCTGAAGCAAAGTTCTTAACCTGAGGTACTATTTCTGGGTTAGCGGAGTCTGTAACCTGAAGCGTATGTAACCTGAAGCATCTGTAACCCAAGGTACCACTGTACTCAGAAGAAGATGCTTAGAAGAAAGACTTTCTTCAGGGAAGGGCCATAGCTCATTAGTAGAGCATGTGGCTTTGCATGCAGAAGGTCACAGGTTCAATCCCCAGCGTCTCTAGCTAATTCTGGGAGAGATTTCTGGCCTGAAACCCCAGAGAGCTGCTACCAGTCAGTGTAAACAATATTGAGTTAGATGGGCCCATTGGTCCAATTCAGTATGAGGCAGCTTCTTCTGTTCTTCCCTGTCTCTGGGGGCCCCTTCTGCATAGCCTGCTCCTGTCTGCAGCAGAAGGAATACAAGGTGCATGTTGTTAGTACACATCAGTTTGCTGTGTTTTTAAAAGAAAAGATTAACAATATGGGGGGTGCTGTAATTGAGGCAACGAGGGTCCTAATTGAGGGGAAAGGGGGTGGGATGATGCCCATGGAGGGGAGGGCAGAGGGCGGCAGGATGAGGGAGGAGAGAAAAGGAAGAGAGTAAAATATCATTGTAAAGAGGAAGTGGAGGCGGCAGCCTGCAAGTCTATAACAAGAAGGACAATTTATGCTCAGGCACGAGTTTGGTTTGACATGGGGATAATGAAAAAGCGTAGGTCATTGTGGATGACTTAAGCCTTCAGCAGCTGAGGAAAATGTATGAAATGCGAGCGGCATTACACGCTTGGCGGCTCTGCACATCTGCAACGGGACAAGTGAAATACAGTGGGGCCATTCTTTACCATAAACTTGTGGTCGTCGGATCCGCCAAGCCCGGAGAAGATTGTAATTACACTGACAAGACAAATCAGTGATATTTAAAT